ATTCTCTTGCCTCAGCCTCCCAAGTAGCTAGGACTACAGGTGCCCGCCACAATGCCCGGCTATTTTTTGGTTGTAGTTGTCATTGTTGTTTAGCAGGCCTGGGCTGGATTCAAACCTGCCAGCTACAGTGTATGTGGTTGGCGCCCTTAACCGCTGAGCTACAGGCCCTGAGCCCAAGAGGAAAGATCTTTATAATAATTAGCTAGATACATAATTTCAAAATCTTGACAAATGTAAAGATTAAATCATTTTCATGAAAAAGTTTGTATGTAGTTATGTAGGGTAAAATACCGTAAGATTTTATATTAATTGTGTAAATAACATGACCTTGAATGATTCATTTTCTTCCATAGTCATTCACTTGACAAATGTTCATTACCCTGGGCCTTGAGGGCACCTGGGCAGCTGCCACATGGGCTCTGAACTTCAAAGGCAGGAGTTGATGAAGGGCCAAAATGTGTGGTTCAGAAAAAAGGAAGGTAATGGGAGATAGTGTTTCTACTAAGACTGGAGGATGAATATAGTTCAGTCTAGTCATTCATTTCTCAAGTTCTTGATGCACACCAGGCATTAGGGATAGAAAAATAAAATAAAGTCCCTGCCCTCAAAGAAGGAACTCAAAAGACTAAGAATTTCCTAAATTCTATAGGGAAGTCTGTATACAATTCTATGAGACAAATGAAGAGAGTCATTTTATATTCATGGAGAATGTAATGCTTGAGTTCAGTCTTAAAAGATGCTGAGGAATTTTCCCGGTGGTTGGAGAGTGAGTACATTACAGACGTAGGAAACAGCATGTACAAGTGCACAGAGGTAGGAGAGAGCACGGTGAGTTCAGAGAAGACCCAGGTGTTCAGTGTGGCTGGGAAGAGCATAGCCTGGTGGCAGAAGATGGTGAGAGAGGAGGCATCCACAGAGGATGGTGAGAGAGGAGGCAGGTTGGAAGAATCACAAGCACCACATCCTGAATAGACTGGGTGTCAAGAGGACAAGCAGATAACATTGACTTCTAACCTGTGGACAAACAGAGGCCATTAGAGGATTCACAGTACCAGCCAGGGATATAAGAACACATTTTTAATTGACGGTATCAGGTTAGTATTATTACTATAACTAATGGCATTAGTATAACTAACACTCTGGTATCAGTTAATGCCTTGATTGGTGTTTGTAGGGTGATAGCTACTTATACAAACATTATCACATTTGATCCTTACGTCAGCGTTTTAAGTGGCATTGTGTTATTAAGATCAGCAAAACGAACAAATATCAAATCCACTACTGTTACTTCTCACAGTAGCACACAGACAAAGCTGGGTTAGAACTAGGGCTAGCATCAAGGAATGACTCTTCCCGTAATCAGCACAATGATGAGACCAGTCTCAGAAAACAGTGACCAGTTGCTTTCAGCTTTCAAAGGGAACTGAAAGAAAACTATGAAGATCTCAGGGAACAGCAACAAATAAGATTAAAAGGATTAAAAACAAGAAAGTGGCACCCATTAAAAAAAAAATCCTTACAAGAATTAGGGTTAATAACTTACTAAATATCTCCAAAGAAATTAACTAATTATTTCAGGGAAATTTTTGTTTTCTTCTTCTTTAGAAATCTAAAAAAGAGAAAACAGACATAAATAATACCAAGAAAGAGTCTTAAGTTTTGGGGGTAGGGGATAAGAGTGTGTATTTTACATGAGTAGTACTAATTCCATATCTATATAAATGTTTTTATTCTTTTATTTGTGCTTATGCGTTAAAAGTATAACTCTAGAAAACAATAATGGTATCTATATGCAAAATAATACCCTGGAATACGGTAATTGGTTTTATTTATTTTATTTATTTATTTATTGGTAATTGGTTTTATTGAACTTAACAACAAACTTGGAACAAAAGCATTTTTAGCCAAGAAAGAGCAGCATTTCTCTTAATACACTTTAGGTGGGAGCTAGCGATCTAGCGGCTATGGTACAAAAATTATGGGAAAATCCCTTGGAAAATGTCAAAGCAGTTTAAGTACACTGCAAGCTTTAAGCTAACGTTTATTAAATGTGCTAAGGAGCATGGGAACAGAGCTTCGGTGAGACACTGTGGACCTCCTTCCACAGGAGGTGTCATCAGATCGTGGAGGCAACAGGAAGAAAGGCTTCTTCAGATGCCAAGATGGAAGGAAGCTATCGAAGGGAATCCTCCAGAGTGGGCAGAGGTGGAGCCAGGAGGTGAAGATCTGGATTCCGGAGCAACGTCAGACTGGGATCTCTAGCTCGACCAAGATGATACAAGAAGAGGGTACAAGGATGGTATGAGAAAAAAAATTTATGATTTCACAGGGACACCTAAATGGTGCTTTAACTTTACGAAAAGAGAGCTTTGAGCACAAGGACCTGAACAAAACTTCCAACAGCTGATGAGAACCAAGCATTGGAATTTTATTCTTATGTTATGAGTCTTTGAAAGACTTACATCTTTAAGCTGTCCCAAATCGCCCACATGGATGAGGTCCCATTCGTGTTTGCTGTGCCACCCAACAGAACTGTGGACATCAAAGGAGCAAAGACCATGGCTGTTTAAACTAGTGGACATGAGAAAACACATTTCTCTGTTGCCCTACCTGTTGTTCAGATGGGACAAAGCTACCACCTATGATCATCTTGAGAAGGAATGAAAATCTGGTCTAACAAAGTCTGGTCATGAAGGCCTGGAGGATTACTTTAAAAACCAGCTTTGCTTGTTTTTGATCACTTCTAAGCCCATGTTACACAAAGTTCAAAAGTAATCACAGCAAACTTGAAAAGCCAACTTGCTGTGATACCCGGCAAACTAACCAACCAACTGCAACCTCTTGGTGTGTCAGTGAACACACCCTTTAAGGGCCTAAGGAAGAAAGTGACATTGTGGAAGAAGACAGTAATGATTTAACACCAGCAGGCAGAATCAAGAAAGCTTCCCCACCCAAGTTTGTGACTGGATCCTGAGATCATGGGACATTGTCAAGAAGGAAATGGTCATGAAATGGTTTAAAACCTGCAGCCTCAGGATTGCTATGGATGGAACCGAAGACAATAAAATTTACAGGAATAAAGGGAAGCGACTCTTCAGAATACACCAGTAATGTAGAAATTAAAAAAGACCATACTTCTGATATAGACCATGATGAGGAGCTCTTGGCCTTCTATGCTGTGTAAATATCATAAATGTGTTACTGGCACATAAAGTCTCCTATGCCTTGTATCTGTTCTTGTGTTTCACAATTACTTGTTACATAAAATTTCTTGTATGTAATATATTTTTTAAAATGCAACAAAGGTACCTAACTATGGATAAATATTTGAATTAAAAAATTAAAACAATGAGGCGGCACCTGTGGCTCAAAGGAATAGAGCCCTGGCCCTATTTGCCGGAGGTGGCAGGTTCAAACCCAGCCCCAGCCAAAAAAAAAGTGAAAAAAAAAAATTAAAACAAAAGATTTTTTTTTTTTTTTTTTTTTTTTGCTAAAGGTTTGGGCCAAAGACAATGGGAGCAAAGTATGGTATATGAAAGAAGATAAAAGTGATTTAATCTTTGAATGAGTAGCCACAATGGATATACGACTTCCATCTCCAGGTATCTCTGTAAAGGACCCCAGCATTATAGTAACACAAGCATTTACCAGACACCAGACATTCTTCTAGATGCCTCCTCTTATCATCATCATCATCACCAGATCACCTCCTTCTTCGTCACTTACTGGCCAGTAATGCCAGCTCTAGAGCCGGACAGCCTGGATCTGCAACCTGGGAATGGCAGATGCGGTGGCTGTAATGGAGGGTAACTCTGACAGATGATACGTGTAAGCCGTTTAAAACAGCGCCTAGCGTGTAGCATGCTCTGCGGAGGGATTAGCTTCTTGATTCCCTTCACTGTGC